AAGAAGCAGATTATTCGATTAAAAGTTAGAAAGCCAAAACAACGAAAGATCGAATAAGGATGTTGGTGCCAAAAGTGTAGTTGCAAGCAAGTAAAACAAAATTAGGCCATTATTTATCTTTGCTACATTCTTGTTTCACAAAAACAAGCAAAGAGAGGCAGTTGTAATAACCTAATTTTGTCCGATTACTTTAATCAAATTTAGATAAAGTTGAAGATCAAATTGATTTGGTTCAAGCAAAGATAGATTTTTGGCCTTTTGTTTATTCGAGTAGATGAACTTCAAATTGGACCTTGTTGCCTATATGAAAAAGAGAATAATGCCATAAATCAATCAAACAAATAACCAAACAGTCCAATTACAAACCATTATGAGTACTTCAAATATATTCATACAACAACCCAATTTCTAAACTATAAACCCTAAACTTAATGGCCCACATAGCCCAAAGCATTAACCAAAAAATAACCCTAACTTATTGAGAAGTTGTAGCCACCAATGTCACCTCTACCTCGTCAGTTTTAACTGTCCCCACCAAGCAGTAGTCCCAAGCCTTCTCAAAAGCACTGTGGTCCCCTAACGATAGCAAGCTTTCACAAAAGGTGGCCCCAAGTGGTTCAACAACAACATGCACTGGTCCCCTCACTCTCTCGTCCTCCACGACAACTACCAATACAAACCAGCCCCCTTCGATTGCTCCATCAACATCCATTGTGCACATACAAATAAAAGAAAAAAAGATGAGATTTTTATTTTTCATTTGGTAACCACTGTAAATGAGTTATTATAAAAACCCAAAAAATGATGTAAAAAACGTTCTCTTCCCCCATTTGAATAAAAAGGAATTAATGTAATTTTCTTCCCCGATTCAAAAGAAAGGAAAACAATGCATTTTTTAAGGTATTTTACCTTCTTCTTATTTTTATTTTCGCTACCCATTTCTTTGGGTTTTATAACCAAAGCAGAATAATAAGGAAAAATAGGGGTATAGTTGCTTACCGTGGTTGTTCAAACTCCTCGTCGAAGATGAGGTCACAAGAGGGGAGAAAGTCGAAACCTTAGATTCTTTAGGGGTCATTTTATCCTCTTGGGGTTTGATTTTTGTATAGAGAAGAAGGTGAAATGTTCGAATCTTTTCGGGGTAGTCTTGGTGAGCTCAGTGGCCATGGTGGCGGTTGGAGGTTTGTTTTTTGCCCCGAAATATAGTGGCTAGTCGTGGGATTTGGGAGCTCTCGATCAAGAGAGAAATGAAGGGGTTGGGAGAAGTTAAAAAGGTAACAGCGATGGGCTTGTTTCGAAATGAGGAAACCACCAGTGATGTATGGTGGTTGGAGCGTGGCCGTGGGGCTGTGATGAGAAGCGCAACTGTATGAGGGAGAGGGAAAGTTGAGAGAGCTTTGTGTGTTTATTTAGTTCAGATTTAACTTTTTTAACCTAAATGGCAATATTAGTTTCATAACATTTCCCATAACAACCCAACGAAAAGGGAAAATCGGTTAGACTTAAAAATTAATTCGAAAAAAGATGGTGAAATGTAGGTTTTGAAATAGTTTGATTTTTGGAGTCGCTATCAACATTTGGGTTAGGTAGGTCGAATACCTAAAAAATATCTTTTTAATGAACTTTAAAAAAATCATTAAAAGCAAAAACGATATGCGTTTTACCAAAGTTTCATTTTCAAGAGTTAGGGAGTCGATTATGCATGAGGAAGTAAAAACACCCCACAACGCCCAAACTTGGTACCCAAATGATTATATATTGTTTAAACACGGGAATTGCAAGAAAATGTGTGAATTTCATTAAAATGGTCTTTGGTTGAGAGAGAAAATTTGATTCACTCGAATTTGTTCAAAAGGAAGTCTTTTCGATTCAAGAAAATCAACAAAAATTGTCATCCTTTAGAGTTAGGATACTAACTTGTCGGTTCTCCCAAACCAAAACAACATTGCCTTCGAAATTATAAAAAAATAAGAATATGATGACAAATAATAAATTCAGTGGGTGCAAAAATTAAAGAGTACAAATATATTTTTAATGAATAATTAACATCTAATGTAAGAAAAAATATTTATTTACCCAAAAAGAAAAAAATATTATTTTTAAAAGAGGAATTACATCATTTTATACGAACAATATTTGAAAATTCACTTCCCTTATAGTTGGGAGACATTTTCATGGATTTCCCTCACGAAAGAATTTTATCTTAATATTGAAAATATGGAAATCTAATGTTATAAAAAAATCAGTCAAGAAAAAAAGGAAATTTTTGTGTGAATAATCCTAAATATACACACTTCCCTTGTAGTTGGGAGATGTCTTCATATATTTTCTCCACACAAAAAAAGTTATCGTCTTGTATTAAAATAATATTACTAGTCACAATGCAATAATAATTTGAATAATGCAAATCATACAAAGGTATATATGCATTCATATGCGAGGATCAACCTAAACGAATTAAAAACAAAGGATACATGCCAAAATAAAATGACCAACAACTAAAGATTAAATATTAACAAGAAAAAAAGGACAATGGTCAAACATGCAATAAAACCACAAGATGACATAAATGTAAACATGCCAAAGAATGAATGCTAAAATAAAATAATGGAAAGAGCATGCATTGGAAACAAAATAAACCATGAATGATATTAGTGACTAAAATAAAATAAGTCACAAAGTAACATGCATAAATAAAAAAAAAGAAAATTAAATGGTGAGAATTAAAGGACCAAAATAAAATACTGGAAATTAAAGAGGCAGAAAATTGAAATCTGAAAGTTAAAGTGCTGGAAATTAAAAGGACTAAAATGAAATATCAGAAATTAAAGGGGCAGAAAATAAAATACTGAAAATTAATGTGCTGGAATAATAAATAAAAAACAGAAATATTAAATTGCATAAATTTAAAAGTTAGGGGATTTTTAATATTTTACCCGGACCATAAATAATGTGGATCGTATCCCGGGGTGGGTCACCACAAATTCATAAAATATTCGAATAATAAAAAGTTAGCGGGCTAGTTTGAGCAATAAAAATAAAATGTTAGAGGGTTAGTTCAAACAATAAAAAAATGTTAGAGGGTTAGTGACTAAATTAAAAGAAATAAATATAACATGCTGCAATTGAAACCAATAAAAAAGCAGAAGCATAGCAGTTCAATGGCTAAAATGAAATAAACAAAAATTATGTGCTGAAAGTAAAAAAAATGAAACATTCATGTGGTTGACTAGTGACTAAATTAAAAGCAATAAAAACAAAGTTTATAAATTAGAATAAATAAAAAAGATAAATCTGGTGACCATAATGCAAATACACACTAAAGATGTAGGGGTATGAAAGTGAGTTTTCCATTTTTATTTATATATATTCATCTTTTAGCCATTTTGGGTAAAAAAACCCTAGCCACTCTCATATCTCATCTTTTTCCTTTTTTTTCAAACTCTCTCGACCCTGCCCTTTTCTAAACCCGCCGGCCAAGCCAAAACCAAAGAATAAACCGATAGGCCACCGTGAAACGGGGGCCACTCCTCCACTCCGACAACCTTCAACCGCAAAACCAAACTAAAAAAAGTCTCACCTTTTTTGAAATCATAACCCAAAACCATGAAAATCAAACTGAAAAAGACCCCCTACGACTGAGAACCTCCCCGACGTTTGGGATTACGGTGACCTACCACCAAAAGGTGAGACTTTTTGCTCGGCGAAGATCTCTCTACCCCGAAGGTAAAGAAATTTTCTATGATTACATCCATTACGTTTTAGTCCATCATAGTGCGTGTAGTATATGTGCAAATATTATCACTTACACTTGTATAGATTATTGTTTTGATAAAAGTAATATTATTTTTGTGAGGAGAATTAATGGAAACGCGCCTTGAATGATAAGGAATATGTTTTCGAAGATTGTTCGTACAAAATGTTATTCTTTTGTATTTGAGTTTTAATTATATCAAATGTATGTATTTTGTGATAAAAAATAAGGCAATATTATTACGTATGAGGAATCTATAGAAACGAGTCTTTACTGACAAAGAATGTGTTTTTCGAGGATTGTTCGTACAAAATAATACATTTTTAAAATTTCTCAAAAATAGATGGTAATTTAAATACATATTCAAATTTGTAATTTTCATTATTTAGATGACGTATAATCGCTTAGGTATTAATTTTGGGCGTTGTGAGGGTGCTCATCCTTAACCACGCGTAATCAACTCCCGAACCCTTTTCAAAACAAGTTTCTGGTTAAACGCATTCCATTTTTATCTTTTAAAATTATTTTTCCTAAAATTCTTTTAGAATATATTTTTAGATGTTCGACCTCCCTAACTCAAATGTCAATGAAGACTCCAAATCTATTTGTTTTTCTCAAACCCGATCTTTTCTAAAATTAAGTTGTTTTCTCTTTAAAAGTATTATATATAAATGTCTCTTTAATGGTACATGATAGAATTGGAAGATTGTTTTGATCGTTTGAGATCATAATAATTTATGTATTACGTCACAAAAGCTGGAATTATATATAAAGGGTGTCAAGTTTAGGTTGTTCATAGTTGGGTTGTGTGCTGATGTGTCTTAAACCATGATTGTTGTGTTTCTTCGGTTTGAGTTCGATCTTAGTTTAAATTGTTGACATTTTTCTTTTTAATAGTATATTATGAGAACTCTTTTCCTTATACCAATGTTTGAGATAGTGCCTTTGCCAAAACTAGACAATATAGTCTAACCATGAGAAAATTTCAGACTCGTCTTTTAAAGATTGCTTCTTTCTGAAACAACTATAATGTCCATATAGCCTCACCATGAATATAAATACAAATAATTAATTTGCATATTATATGATATAAAATAAATCTCGAGGATACTTATATTAATAATTATTTTAATAAATACACTTGAAAATATTACAATGAAAAGAATGAAACAATATAAGAGGCACTTAAGGTGACATTTCTATAAAGTAGTGCCGTTGAATAAAGACACTTTGACCCATGCAATTAATAAAATAACAAGAATTAGTTGATGTTGAGATTGTCATCAATTTGCCATCCTGCAGTTGATACGAATCTGTCCTTGTTTTCCGGTTAAAGGCTTAATGTTTCCCATCCTAATCATAGACTTTGCAAAATCATTCCAGAAAGCATCAGGGTTCAAGCTGTAAGTCTTTACAAGTTTATCGGTGGAGCCGCCATTGAAAAGAGCCTGATCTGAGGTGAGTAGTCCCCTTTCCTTCACTAGGTTGCTGAAGTATGCAGTGTCAAACTTGACAGGTGTAGAATCGAAAGGAGCGAGATTAGTGTTCCCTCCGGTGCGTGGGCAAGTGGCTCTACGCTGTTTGGCAAAGGCAGGGTCAATATTGGTTGCATTGTAAATTCTGTTCCTAAAGATTAAACATCTTGATAAGCCAATGGTGTGTCCACCGGAGAGAGCTACAAGATCTCTCTGGTTCAATCCCTGGTTCTTGAAGTTGTTGATCAATGCAGGAAGATCCATTGAAGCCGATGGAAGCACACTGTCGGCTAAGGCCCTACTAGCCTTGGTTGAGTCTCTCCTACCCAAACGAACCTTCCATGCCGGACCTCCAAGCTGTAATCATGGTAGTTTTCGTTTAGAAATATTGGTTTTTACATGATAAATATTAGAGGCAATAAAGGACTTTACCGCAACTACGGAATCTCGAGCAGCCACCGCTAAGATATCAGCACAAGAGACCACGGGGCGTCCACAAACTCTGTCCACTTCAGCCTTAATCTCATCTACAACTTCGAAACCTCTCACAGAATTCAAATTTCAACGTGCATTTTTCTCGGTTTCGAAAGCAGGGGTAGAATCCAAAAGATGTGAACCATCACAGCCCTGCAACACAATGCAGTTGAAGATTAATATGCAAATACTAAAACTTTCCAAAAAATGAATCAAGGATAACATACATTAACGAAGCAATCATAGAAGTACAAACGAAGCAAAGAAGCACCCAGGCGGGGCTCTCTGTGGACAGCAGCCTGCACTATTCTCTTGATGGCAGGCAAAGCTTGGGGACAAACTCTGTCATAAAATTTGGGAGATAAGGAAAAAGCAGTGGTTGCAAGAGCCAACCAAAGAAATGCATGAAGAAGAAAGTTACTACGGGAAGCCATGACAAGTACGCAAGTAGTAGACTTAATCTCGATGAGGTTTGTGTTGTGTATGTCGAGCATTCGGTCGTGTAATTTATAGATACGTAGGAACTTCATAGAAATGCGTGAATTTGTTGGTTTTGGACTTTGCAGCTCAATGATTAGACTGTTAGACTATTTCTTTCAGGAGCTTTTTTTACCATCTCTCTAGGGCCGCCTGTTCAAGCAAAGCTACCACCTCCTTTTTAAGACACACGAGGCTTCTAATATATAAAATATGATGAGATTCGTTTTGTTCAAAATTCAGACCTCATATTCTACATTCCATATGTACTTAAATTGCAATAGAAACATTGTTAATCGCATAGCCTGTGTTCCAGTTTTGAACAAAATCAATAAATGATAACAATTGTGATACAAGTTGACGTCAATGTTTAAGGTTTGACCTTCAAAACAATGTGCTAATTGAATAAGGGTATATTACACCACAGCTCACTCATTTATTTGCAAGATTACAAATGGATCACCAACCTTCTAAAACTTACACACGAGTCACTCAATCGATTGTAACAAACAGATCACTGGACCGTGAATACCATACGAGGTGGGCAATGAATCCCGAATTTCCACCATAAGATTCATCTCGATATCCCCCATTCAATTCACCAAATTAGATTCTCAAGAATCTCACTCAAAAACCTTAAAATCACCCCGCAAAACATTTAAAATTCTTGAACCTCAATCTACTTTATCGACCACTAGATGACCTCTACCTAGTGACATCCTCCCTCTCACCAACTCCAGACTCTACCATTGGAATCGTCGAATGGATCCCCTGATCTTTGAGAAGTCCAAAACTCAAAATGGATTTTCTTTCTCAATTAATCCAATGTCTCATTTGTGTCTTTCTGAAATTAGGTGACCTAATTGTAATCTTACTAATAATTGGGTGAAATATTTGTAATCTTACTAATATTTAGATGGCATGTGCTGTAATTTACCAAATGAGAAATCAATAAGAAAAAACAGTTTTTTTATTTGGCAATTTAAACTTTAAATTTTCAAAAAATAAAATAAAAAAACCTTTTATTGACGATCAGTATTTTTATTGACGTGGTGTATCTTTTATTGAGGATCAGTATTTTTATTGACGTGGTATTTTTATTGACGCCATAAGGCATTGTCTCTTTCATGAAAAAATCAACTTACGCCAACAGTGCCAACCGCAGCTCTTCAACCTGCTCTGTTCTCTATTTCAACTTAGGTACCTTAAGCTGGTTCTTTTTACTCTTAAACCCTACCTTCACACGCCTCTTTTTGGGTAATTTTACTCCACCTTGACGCTGAAACATCTGCCACCAATGTAATTGCTTCACCTTCCTGTTTTTCTTGGTTTGGTTATTTCCTAGCCGTCCCATTCCACCTTTGGAAGTCTTTGATTTCTTTGACTGCCTAAGGTGCCTCAACAATCCTTCCACTAGTGAATGAAAATGCCCTCCTTGATGCTTGACCGGCACATTACTCGCCCTCGCTTTTCTTAACTTATCTTCGTCCACTTTGTTTCTGGTTCCGGGATGAAAAAGTTTGTGCAGAGGTGTCCACAAAGATTTGGCGTGCGCCCCATGGGAGTGATCACCTCTGTCATGGTGATCATATCGGTGATGGTGGTGATGATGATGATGATGAAAAACTAGAGCTAACTTATTCTTAAGCCTCCTCATCCGTCCCAGCTTTTGACCCTCTCCTTTCTCGGGCTCAAATTTTGTCGGATGGATTGATTTGTGTGTTTTGGTAGCATACAATCTACCTGATTCATCATCCCTGTAGTCACTGCTAGTTGATGAACTACTCTCTTCACGTACTCCGTGATCAAAACTACTGGATATTGAAGCTGAACTGTCCTCACTTGCCAAAGAATAAGCCTCGCTGTCACTGCTACCACTGCCAGCACTAGAAGACTCGTCGGGTTCTTGCTGTTGCAGTAGAATCTTATTCCGCAAAATTCCCATAGCCGCTTTTTTCTGTTCCGGTAGAATCTCATGTGCTAGTCTCTTCTTATGACTCAGAGACTTCGATACTGTTGACTGGGATGGTACTGAAGGTCTCAATTTTGCCATGTTTGGTGATGATTCTTTCCCCCTACTCTCTATTGGGGTTGGATAGGACATTTTTACGGGCATGGGAGACCTCTTGGTGATATCAGCCAGCTTAGTCGGAATCCTTAATCCGTGAACATAGCAACCGGTAGTTTCATTCTGCTTATGACCATCTGCTTCTACCATGCCAAAAACATTCCAATTAGCTACCTTTTTATTCAGCCTACTATCACTCCTTACAATATGCTTGCAAGTTTGATCTATCTCCTTGTGCTGAATCCTTCTCCTTTTGCTCATTATATAATCCGAGAAGTTCTTACTTTGACCTAATACATCATCCCTATCTGAAAAAGGATCAACAGCATGGCTTAGTTCATTCTTTTTAACCAAATGCTCTTTTGCTTGTACCATAGGACACAGTGATGTAGGCATCTTATACAAACCGTGTGGCATAGCGCCTTTGGTAGCATCTGCCAACTTTGAACACAAACGCAAAGCTGAAATGTGGGATTCAATGTGCTTGACTACTTTATCAATGTCTTTGGAGAAATTATTTACTGCCTCCCCTTCCTTTTCATCCAGGTTAGCAACATTTTCTCCAGAAGCTACAGAATTTGAGGAGCTAGCAACTGATCTGTCTACACCGGAAGCATCTCGCTGTGCACATATACTACCTTGCCTCATTGTTTCATTCATTTTCAATAGCTTCTTATTTGTTTCATTTTTATCTAACAATTTCTTGACATCCCCACTGGCTTGATAAAAGTATCCTAGAGGATCACATGGCGGACCTTGTTGCTTAGCCTCTTTGCTCATTATCCTGTCTATCCCGTGCTGCTTGTACTGTTTTTCTTGTTGAACTCACAATTTTTCTTTCTGTTTTCTGGTTTGTCCAAGGAAAAGGTAAGCCTAGATAGCTGTGAGACAACTTCCTGAGTTGTTGGCCGATTAGGAGAATCTTCATCTTTATATGAACTAAATGCAGGGTCAAAGTTTCGAGTTACATCCGGTGTTGGTGTTGCTTGTAAACTACTTAATGAAACAGAAGTCTGAAACTCTAGTAAGGCCCTCCGTTTTCCAGATTCAGAAGAGCAGGAATTGCTGCAGACACCATGTTCTGCTGCTTCTATCATCTGTGACACAAATCGATTGACAACAAAGGTTTCAATTATCACAACAAAACGTATCTGAACTTGGACAGGGCTATGATATCATCGAAAAAGCATCACAGTAGGAATAACAATAAAGGAAGCATCAGTGTGGAACAAATTTGTTGCTAAACTTTGAAGAAAATGATTGGAAAGGAAAAGCAGATAGTAAATAATCCGAGCAAAGGTCCACACATTGACATAGTCCATATACCTTTTTATGTGTCTCCAAAACTCTCTTGGTAGCATCATCTAGGAGATTCTTTAGTAAAAGCTTCGATCTTTCACCTAACTGCTTACCATCAAAGGTAAAATGAATCTGAATGAATTAATAGGGAAAGTGTATTTTCCAAATTGCTAACTTGTAAGCAAGTAACTATTGCCTCAAAATAACGCCAAAGTCCAGATTGCTGATAACTTCTCCACCACAATGGTGCAAACGAAGGTTTCTAACAGAATCAGGTATTTAAATAGCAAACCGCTATCCGAATAGCAGCCGTTATATAGCGGTAAAGGTGTCATCCAAAATCATTATTTCACAACCGTAATGACCATAATAGCACAGGCTATTGCCGCAAATGCGATAATAGCAAGGCAATCGAAATTTAAATCCCTGAAGAGAACTCACCACCACATTGCAGGTAGCTTCGCCCCAATGTAAAAGTCCATATAATTCTCTTAAAGCTTCAAGATCAGATTGCAAATCCTTTAGTTCCATCAAATTTATCGAAATCCCAGTCAGGAAATTTACAACATCAAAGCGAGGAATGCACATTTTTAAAATTACTAACAACCAAGTCTATATAAAAAGTAGAAAACCAAAAAATAAAGTTAATCAAAATAATGAAATCGGAATTCTTAACCTTCAACGATTCTGGTAAACATTTTTCTTTGGCATCACGTTTTAAATGATATACTTACAGTTGTATTCAAAGCAAAATGAGGGGTTATATATGTGGACGATGATCAACTGCAAGGGGGAGATAGAGAGAGAGAACCATAGAAAACGGTTTGCAAAAATTTATGAACAGTTGCCGATAAATAAATTAAGAAAATGGTTAGAGAGACAGAAATTAGAAAAATAAAAATTATAAGACAGAGAAAGTAAAGTAGTGTCAGAGAATACGAATCAAACGACTTTGAAGTTTAAAGTTTTAATGTTATCTTTTTAAAATTTTTAATTCGAACGTGATGTCTATATGAATATATGAGCATTTATTATTGTTGAATTTTTTTTAATAAATATTACTTTATATTTACTTAACACCAATAAAAATATAGTGCAAGAGAACATATAGATATGACAAACAAGAAATGAAAACCATAAATTCCATGATAAAAGCATTTTTGTCAGGATACATTAATTGATCGGATAATTAAAGATATTTTAATTGTTTAACATTATATAAGTTTAAATCCTAATATTTATCTTTAAAATATAATATATGTCCACTTAATAAAAATATTTTATTAGTATTCAAATTTAAAATCACTTTATTTGTTTTAATAAAAAAATGAAAGATTTAATTTAAAATTAAGTGCATAAATTATACTTTTAATCTATCTTAAGTATTTAAAGTTCTTTTGGTTAAAGCAATTGTATATTGAATTTTCTTTAATTATTTAATTAGATTGTGATAGAGAAATATTTTTCAATCAGATTGTGATATATTATATTATTTAATCGATAGAATAAATTTATTAAATTAAAATTAAATTAATAAAATACATAAATAAAGTATTCTTTTGCCTTTAATATTTTATTTAAAAATCTTCCAATAATCAAAACAAAATTGATTATATAAATTTTAGTCTTATTACAAAAGGGAAAAAAGAAACTAGAGTCCAAACAAGAAGAGTTGTTGTGTAAACCCAATTACCCAAATAAGAATGCCCAACGTTTCGTCAGAAAATTAATTAAAATATTTTTTATTGAAACTATAAAAGTATATGGTTCTATGGTGTAGTGGTTAGCACTCTGGACTTTGAATCCAGCGACCTGGGTTCGACTCCCGGTAGGACCTCTATTTTTAAAAATAGTTGTTACAATCCCAAATAAAACAGATCAGGGAACTGTATGTCATATGTACAAGTCCCGCTTACCTTATGATTTGGGATTTTTCTTTTCATTACCCCCACTTCACTTGTCCACCATAATGTATGAATTACTCACCAGAAAACAATATATTCAATCCAATAATGCACTGAACATGGAAATGCTATGCGCATTAAAGTGGGTTCTGACCATGGCTTCCCTATAAATTTAAGGCCAATTGCCAAACCTTCTTTGTCATAACCAACCTATCAAAGGACAGTACAGATCTGATATTAGTATTAATGTAGTGCTCGAGTGAATTCAATGAAGAGATCCGAGCACAAGTTTGTACCGGAACAGTCACAGCAGGTGTTTCCTGATGTCTGATATAGAAATAGGGCAGCTGAAACGACGGTGAAATGGTTAACTTCCATTATGCACCTGCTTCTCTTCATTAGCTTATCCTACTGATAAAAGCTTGAAGATGTAAACATAAGCACATACTGCAAATTCTGTCAAAACTCATACCTCAATTTATGTAGTCAAGCTCATCAGTCTCTACAGCATCATCGAATATCGAGTATGAGAATAAACCGAAAAGAGAAATCTCTTAGACATTGTAAGAAAATTTATTGGAGAAAAAAAACACTAAAATAGATGCAAGATGCAGCTGATAAAAGGAGTCTGCCCTGTTAATTGAATTTGAAATCATAATTGACATTCACTTTTTAGTTCTTGAAATGGCATGTAATGAGTGACAACAATTGGTGTTATGTAGAAAATATGTTCTAAATGAGAGGAAGAGAAGATGTGAAATGAAGAAGGGCACACAAACAATTTCATAAATGATGGACAGACTTCTCACATATCATCTCAGTCATAACTTTCCATTAAATAGGATTACAAAATATAAAATAATTTTATAATTGTGTAACTCTCAAACAGTCAGTAATCATCACTGAAAATAACCATGAAAAAAATGAACAACACAATGAGAGACGGGCTACACTTATGGTGGGTGGCCATACCCCGCAAGATTTTATGGGTAAATTATTCTTTGAGTATCTACTAATTTTAAAATTAATAGAGTTAAACTTTTTTCCCTTCGATTTTATAATTAAATTATATTTTTAAATCCTTGTTAATTTTAAAGTTAATGATGTTACAAACAGTTTTAAGATTACCCAAAAATTAGAAGGAAAAAAGGTCGCCATCAATTTCTTTATTCGGGCATGATTTTTTTTAATTAATCACCGGTATTCGATATATTAATTGATTAATTCATATCGGATGCTGCAGAGGCGATGTCGACCCTCTCAACCTATTTACTCTTTTCGCAAATATCAGAGTTCGAATACATGACCTTGCTTGAGAAATTTAGTATCTCATCCCACTAGACTTATTCGATATGATTAAATCATTTAAAAGTTTTATTATTTTAATATAATTTTATTATCAAGTAAAAACTTATTAAAACAACAGCTTTTGATATACGAAATACAAAATAGATTCGAGAGTAAGATTTTGTATGAGAAGTGCATTTACAAATTATAACGCCTAATAAAATTATGTTACGACACCTAAAATTAACATCTCTTTATACACATTGTTTCAAATTTTAAAAATCATAAGTTCAAAATTAAATATTTAAATATGATCCCTACAAAATATATTTTTAATGGAATGCATTTTATGAAGAAAAAAAAAACTTTAAAATACAATTTGATATTGAAAGATTAAAAATTTTATATTCATCCTATTTAAAAGATGATATTCTTTTATTAAGAATAATTAATGAGATCACACTCTAATAATTTAAGAGAATATCTCATTAAATTTCTTAATACGAGCATATTATCTTAATTTTAAATTTACTTCTAAATTTTTATGAAACAATTTCGATTTCATCGTCGACTTATTCAAAAATAAATCTTCTCAAAATATTATTCAAACCAATTTATTAAAAAATGACATATATATATATATATATATAATTCAATTAAACGGATGAGAATTATGTCAAAATCTAAAATTTCAAAGATTGCGTGTGTTGAGCTATTCACATCGTCGAATTTATATATATATTTTGAATTAATTATTGGTATCCGACTATTGATCGTCTAATCCAGATCAAGTACTGCAGGGGCGAGGGTCATCCTCCCAACTCAGTTCACTCCATTCGCAAACGGCAGGATTTGAATCCTAATCTTACTTAAAGAATCTAATGTTTCATCCCACTAGACTAAGTGATTGTTGGTAGTAATATATATTGCTATTGAAAAATAATATAATTATAATAATAATCATGTTCGTAAAAACAATATATATTTGTTAAAATAAAACGTGGAAAATAGCTCTGTATTTCATATATCATATCAAGATACAATATGCTAGTTTATATACAAAGTTGATATGCTAACTAGTACAGTAACTACTTTACAATAGTTTAATTGAACAATTAACAAATTACACTAACCAACTAACAGTCCTTAAACTAATTCTCATTTCAACAAAATTTATTTATTATTATAGTAATAGTGGTAATAATAATAAAATTCATGTTATATAATAATAATGCAATATAAAAAGAAGATAGTGAAAATAATAATAATAACATATACACTAATACATAAAATACCAACAATCAAATATATCTATTGAGATAAGATATTATATGTTTTAAGTGAGGTTGGAGGTTTGAATCCTAATTGTGAATAGAGTATATTGATATGAGAGTGTCGTCCTCATATTTATTAATAGTCACGTCACCTCCTTCATCTCTCTTGAATACAAGTAAGTATTAATCAAGTCAAGTCATAAAATTTTGAGTTATTCGAGTTGAGAGTCTTATTTTATAACTCAAACTTTATTTGAAATTTTTTCCGAATCGAGTCGAGTTTATAAAATTCGAGATGAATCAATTCGAGTCAAGTTATTCAAGTTTATGTTTAAATCTAATTGTAAATATTTATAATGTTATGATACAATTTGATTGACAATTTTCTACAACCATATAATATATATATATATTTATATATATTCATATGTGATATACATATTTAATGCAGAGTTAAGAAACTCGACTCAAATTTAACACAAATCAAATAATTGTTAAAAATTTTGAGTTATTCGAGTTTTTTTTATAACTTGACTTGAATTTAAGATCTTTTGGAATCTAGTCAAATTTATAAAATTATGAGTCGAATCAAATTAAGTCAATTTTTTTAATCAAATCAAATAAAAAAATTTGATTTCTCAAATTAAATTGAGTTTTGCTCATCCTACTCTTTCCAAAAGTATAGTCAGAATTATACCTAAATAGAAACTCAAAAATAAAAAATAAAATAAAATTTTGTTTAAATTATCCAAACATAAAATATCTATAGTTCATATCATATTTTTCAAAAAAGGACATTTTCAAAAATCTCGATATTTTAAAAGATATATGTATCAAACGATTTTAATAATTAACGAATTTATTATTAATTTTTTTATCTTAAATTTAAATATCACATATATAAAATTTCGAATTTAAGATATACATAAATAATATTAAACTATTTACTTACTGCTTGAGCTAATCTCCGTTCGGATTTATTAAAACGGAAAAAGAAAACAAATATTATTAGTGAAGTTATTCGATACAAACGGACGTGAACGCAAAATAATTCCAAAGTAAACGTAGAGGAAGGCACTGGAAAGTGGAAACCCTCCAAGGAGTCGATTCCCTGCAAGCAAAGTGACAGTCCAAAAGTAGAGCAAATGTGAACCCCACGAAACATACGAGTACCGCGACGAAACAACCATCGGAGCCGAGCCGGCAGCCCCACATTACCACCTTAAATCAACTCTCTCCCCCAGTTTTGTTTATTTTGCAGACAATTCACCCGATCCATCCCAATTTCCATAGGTTTGGGGTTTTTTTAATACTCTTTTTGTTTTCTCTATTTTGTTGATGTAGGATTTCTGGGTTTTCTCTGGTTCATCTGTTTCTTCTTTTATTATTATTATTATTGCTAACCAGTTTTCTATGTAGACTTTGAGCTGCGTGTTAAGTGTCGTAACCGTTTTTCGGCGGGAACAATCTTTTAATTATTTTAAAAAAACATGTTACGACTTTTAATTTTGAAAAATTAGGTATTTTGGATTGAATTTGGGTAAAATCGAAAAGAGTCACCATCAACCTTTGGGTTAAGTAGGTCGAATACCTAAAATGTCTTTTAAAAACAATTTTAAGAAAAATTATTTTTTAAGACAAAAGTTGGTCTGCGTTTATCAAAGATTCGATTAAAACATGTTCGGGAGTCGGTTACGCGTGGAGAATGATTAACACCCCCACAACGCCCAAAATTGATACTGTGTCGCTTATACATTGTCGTAAATGGTGAAAATTCTGAATTAAATATCAAGTTAAAATATGATCCGTTTATTGGAATTTAATTTATTTACTTCAGATTAATAACTTAAAGGAAAAAAATTAAAATAAGTAGTTAAACCTATAAGAACTAAAATGCAACAAATCAAAAACCTGAAGGCTAAATTACAATTAAACCAAATTAAAACAAGGACTAAAACATGTAAAATGTCGAGTTATACACATGAAGATATCATACAAAAATTAATTAAATAAAACAAATGATTGTTTAACTCATGAAAATTACCATGACATTCTAATACAAAAATTATATAATTAAATAAAAAAAAATGATTATTTAACTCATGAAAATTACCATGACATTCTAATACAAAAATTATATGCATTTATTTAGATTATAAACTATATCTTATATATGATTACCATAAATAAGTTTTGAACGTTTGAACCATAACTAATACTCAATATTAAAATATAAAGATTTAATTCAATCTAGGATACACAAATATATGTAAGGTACTATATGAATTTATATTAACTAATCATATATACATACTATCATACAAACATGTACGCATTATGAACAAGTAATGGACCACTATACTTATTAATAAATGATATAAAGAATGTAAAAGTAAATATAAGTATGCATCTAATATAATAAAATATATTAAAATTGATCATGCATGGGCTAATTAAATATAATATACTCCAATAATTTAATATATATATATATATATATATATATATACTAAGCTATATATATATATATATATATATATATATATATATATCCAACTAAGCTATTCTTCCTACAGACATGTTAAACAAATATATATATGAACAAAGAATCAGTTTCCAAGGTAAATGTACAAGTGAGCTAAAAATTAATTATTCCAAATATTTTAATATAAAATCTAACTTTAGCCAAAGAGAAAATAATCTCAGTGACCAAAATTGTCTTATAATATACGATTTTAACCAACCTTTTTTGGATTTGCCAAAATGACCAACTAAATCGCAATACGATCGATAATTCGCAACGCGATCTCCGGTATCGCAAATCAGTTTCCAGATTTGCAACGCGATTCTGACTATCGCATTACGATTTCCCAAATTCGCGTTGCGATTTTCCTAATTCGCAATGCGAATACGTAAATCGCAACGCGAATTTGGAAAATCGCAATGCGATTACGTAAATCGCAATGCGAATACGTAAATCGCAATGCGAATCTGACTATCGCAATGCGATTTACATAGCGCCATTCGTATCCAACGCGTATTTTTTTTCAAATTCCAAACACGAATATATTAATATATAGGAACACTGAACCGTCCACAGTATATCTCGTAATCGCAACTCATAACCTAAAACCCTAAATCACAACTCAGTCTCATCTCCATCTCTCACTCTCTAAAGCGACATCCGTCCCCATCTCCGACGAAATCAGTCCCCATCGCCGACGATATCAGTCTCCATCTCCGGCGAAATCATTCACGGTCAGAAATGGAAAATCAACCAAATCAACCACCGAGGGTTAGTTTTTTTAATTATTTTTATTTTGAAATTTTTGCATTATTATTAGGTTTTCATATTGAAATTGATAAGTTACTGGTGTTTTCAATAATAGATTAACCATTTCACTTAGATTGCTTATTATTTATTCGATTGCTGCCAATACTTCTAAATGTTTAGTCTTTAACCCTGTGAAGTTAGTATTTGTCTTTGTTTTGTCTTTTGGTTGAAGTAATGCAATCCATTCAAGTTTCTTTCAATTTTAGTATTTGAAACCGAGAATGACTATCGCAATGCGATTCTGTCGTTGCGATTTTCATTTCGCGTTGTGATTCTTGCGTTGCGATAGTCAAATTCGCATTGCGATAGTCAAATTCGCATTGCGATAGTCATTTTTGTGTTGCAATTTTCATTTTCGTGTTGCGATTTAAAGTTTCAGAAACTATTCTTCTTCTGCAAATTGAAACTTGAATGAATTGCATTACTTCAACCAAAAAACAAATACTAAATTCACAGTGTTGCAAATTTAAGTTTGAAGAATAAACTACTACTCTTTATGTTTATTGTTCATATCTTCACAGTGTAGTTTTTGGTATATCTAAATTGGTATGTTTATTGTTTTTGCAGAACTTTTATTCGGCTCAATTAACCTTAAGAAATAAAGTAAGCCTGACCAAAACAATTGCGTCGAAGCTTTCACCTGCACAAAGAAAAATATTTGAGGATACTTACTTCGGGCCATGGCTGAAAGTACAACATCCGGGTGGAGATGCTATGTTGACCCATCTGTTTCTTCAAACCATGAATAGCGATCTACCAGAGACTATACAACGTCGTGATGAAGAGATATGGTTTGATTTTCCACGGCGTATACGTGTTTTGGGCGGGAGGAGTTTTGCTTAATCACCGGTCTACGCTTCGGACACGATGATGTAGATCGGTACACTAGACATATTACCCGCCTATCATGGTTTTCCCGGGTTTTTCCTGAGCTGTCAACGGAGAAGTCGAATTTACACGTCGCCTATCAGATGGATGACGTCGATGTTGTCGAATTTACACGTCGCCTAAAAAGCCGGCTTGCAAAAGTATTAGAAGGCAATTGTTCTTTGAATAAAAATAATTTCAGAATCAAAAACCCTGTTTACCAGAGCCGGAAAACTATGTTTCTACATGGTATCAGTCGTCAGCGTCGATCCCATTCTTGTTGCCATCGTCCTTCCGACCAACAGTGTGCCTTCTATGCACTGCAGTCCTTCCAATTGTGAAATTCTTCGCATCATTGCCCCTTTGCAACGCCGTCTTCCTTGCTGCGCAACCACAACAGTGCCGCTTCTGTCGCAACATTGCTCTCCTCGCCGTAATGCTTTTGTCGCGTCGTCGGTCCAGCACTGCCCTCATCATGGCGGAAACCTTTCCTATTCTGTCACTTATAGCAATGCTGCCTGACATTAGCGCGAACTTCATGCTCTACACCACCGCCTCAGAAATCTGGAACGCTGCCAAGGAGACGTACTCCATCAAGAAAACTCGTCCGCTATATTTTTCATTGAATGTCGAATCAATGACTTGAAGCAAGGTGATCTCACTGTTACCCAATACTTCACTCAGCTGTCTCGCTTATGGCAACAAATTAATCTGTTTGAGTCTCCCGATTGGCAAATTGGTGCAGATGCCAAACTTTACAAAGGGCTACTTGAAAAACGACGTATTTTTTCAATTCCTATCGAGACTGTACGTCTCTCTTGATGATGTCCGTGATCGAATTCTGGGTATCAGGCCTCTTCTGTCTCTTCGCGAGGTATTTTCTGAAGTTCATCGCGAAGAAAGTCGCCGCGAAGAAAGTCGCCACTCTCTGATGCTTCCTCTACCCGTTGAAAGGTCTTTCTTAAATACACATTCATCTGGTGACACCCATGTCAAGAAAGGTCATCCCTGGTGTGATCATTGTCGGACACCTGGTCATGTTCATGATAAATGTTGGAAGCTCCATGGCCGTCCAGCCAACTGGACTCCATCCAAATCCTCCTCTAGGCCATCTCATGGTAACTTTGTTGTAACGACATTGAAGGGTGGTTCCTTTTCTCGTCAACACTTGGACGATCTACGACAGATGTTTGGTCATTTACAGATTCCTCCTGCTACTGAGTCAAAGTATCTCTGCACTGTTAGTGAAGGTAGTTCACCTTTTACTTTCTTATCCCCTTCACCAGGGTGTGTCTCTTGGATTATTGATTCCGGAGCAAGTGATCATATGACGGGCAATTTCAGTTTATTTTCCACATTTCACAAAAACGATATCTCATGCAGTGTTCGAACTGCTGATGGCTCCCTATCACCGGTTAAGGGTAGTGGCTCAATTCGCATTAATAGCCACATCACTCTGTCTAATGTTCTATTTGTTCCAAGTTTGACTTGCAATCTTCTTTCGATTAGCAAATTATCTACAGATCTGGGTTGTACTTCTCATTTTACTCGTGATTATTGTGAATTTCAGGATTTGACATCGGGTATGGTGATTGGCAATGCTAGGCGTTGTGGTGGACTTTACATCATTGACGCTCCTCCTTATACTCTCATTCCCAACCACTCACCTGCACCATTTATCTCTTCTTTTGTTTCAGTTTCTCCCACAGATGCGGCTGCCGACATTGTGTTATGTCATTTTAGATTAGATCACCCAAGTTTTTTTTATCTTGCAAAATTGTTTCCCAAATTATTTATTAATAAAAAACCCGCATCATTTTCTTGTGACATTTGCTCTCTTGCAAAACATATTTGGAGTTCTTATCCTCTTTCTCCCTCTCGCTCGCCTAAACCTTTTTCCTTAATTCATAGCGATATTTGGGGACCTTCTCGGGTTACGGGTTTATATGGAATTCGTTGGTTTATTACTTTTATTGACGACCACTCTCGTACCACTTGGATCTTTCTTACGAAAGACAAATCTGAGTCTTATACCATCTGTAAACGATTCACAAAATGGTTGAAACACAATTCCAATGTTCCATTGGCATCCTTAAATCTGATAATGATGGGGAATACCTCTATCAGTCATTGGGATTTTTCTTCCAGGAAAATGGAATAGTTCACCTCACTTTCCGTGTCGACACTCCATAACAAAATGAGGTCGGTGAACTTAAAAACCATCATCATCTTGAGGTAACCCGAGCACTCATTTTTTCTTCTAATGTTCTAAAATACCTTTGGAGTGAGGCTCTCTTAATAGCTACTTTTCTAATCAATCGTTTGCCTAGTAAGATTCTTGCCTTTAAGTGTCCACGGGATATCCTTTCCACTAAATTCCCTCACTTCAAACCTTTTGCCTCTTTTGTTACTCTTCGTGTCTTTAGTTGTACTATCTTTGTCCATAACAACAATCCTCATAAATCTAAACTTGGTCCTCGAGCAATTCGGTGTGTCTTTGTTGGTTATTCATCCCATCAGAAAGTTTATCGTTGCTACTCTTGTTCTACAAAAAGGTTCTTCACATCTATGGATGTCACTTTCAAGAACATAAATTGTTCTTCTCAAAAATCGAAATCCAGGGGGATAGTGAGTATGAATTTAAATTTTACCAATTATTACTGAGTTACCCATCAGTCCATCTTCTACTGAAACAAATACCACTCCACAACCTCCTAACACTACCACATTTGATAATAAAAACCAATCCATTAATCCCATCGACTCTCATGAAACACCTAGACCATCTACCGATATTCTCATCTACAAAATATGACCCAAACAAGCCCTACCTTCCACGCCGCAGCCAATACATTGTCAAGAGCCAGAACCGGGTTTAAATCCATCGACAGACAAAGGAAATAGTGACCAAAGTAAGTTAGATGTGGTAATTGAGACTAGTGAGTTACCAATTGCTCAAAGAAAGGGAGTTAGACGATGTACAACTCATCATATTAGTAAATTTGCTGCTTATGGGAAACTAATGTCTGGTTTTAAGACTTTCATAGCTAAAGTTGATCATATTCATATTCTGGAAACCATAGAGGAGACATTAAAAAGTCATGGATGGAAGAAGGCAGTTGAAGAAGAAATTTCAGCTGTAGAAAACAACAAAACCCTGGGTCATTGTTGACCTACCTAAAGACAAGAAACCAGTTGGCTGCAAATGGGTCTTTACTGTGAAATTCAAGGGAGATATAAGGCTAGACTTGTGGCAAAAGGGTTCACTCAGACTTATAGAGTTGACTATCAGGAGGCCTTTGCTCCAGTTGCAAAACTCAACACTGTTCAAGTTCTATTATCCTTGCCAGTGAACAAGGATCGGATACTTCACCAACTAGACGTAAAAAATACATTTCTCAATGACAATCTTAAAGAATATGTCTATCTGCAAGTTCCACCAGGAATTCATTTTGGAAATAACCAGGTATGTAAATTAATGTAATCCTTATATGATCTAAAACAATCACCTCGAGCTTTATTTGATAGATTCACGAAGGTAATGCTACAAGATAGCTACAAACAATGTCAATCTGATCACACTCTGTTTGTAAAAACTGCTCCTGATAAGAAGAAGTCAATCTTGATTGTCTACGTTGATGATATCATTATCACAGGTGATGACCTATTAGAAATTGAGAAGTTGAAGACATTACTAGCAAAAGAGTTTGAAACCAGAGATTTGGGAACTCTAAGATATTTCCTAGGTAGCGAGATCACGAGAAGGAATTGTCATATATCAAAGAAAGTATATTCTAGACTTACTATCTGAAACTATAATGACTAATTGTAAGCTCTCAGAAACTCCTATGAAAGTTGACTTGAAATTGAGTAAAGATGGAAACCCGGTAAACAAGGAACATTATCAAAGGCTAATTGGTAAACTCATTTATCTATCTCTAACTAGACCTGACATTGTTTTTCCTGTTAGCATTGTTAATCAATACATGAATGATCCAAGAGAATAACATCTGGAGGCAGTTAATCGAATCTTAAGATATCTAAAGATGGAACTAGGATATGAGTTGATTTTCAAAAAATATGAAGACAAAACAGTTACAATTTTCTCATATTCAAGCTGGGCTAGAGAATTAACAGATAGAAGGTCAACCATGGGATACTGCTTATTTGTGTGGGGAAACCTAGTGACATAGAGAAGCAAGAAACAATCAGTAGTCTCCAGAAGCAGTGCAGAAGCAGAATATAGGGCGATAGCACTCGGAATGTGTGAAGGAATTTGGCTTCAAAGACTCTTAACTAAACTAGAGATGTGCGATAATAACAATTTTAAACTTCAGAGTGACAACAAATTTGCGGTAAGCATTGCAAAGAATCTGGTGCACCACGACATAACAAAACATGTGGAGATCTACAGATACTTTATTGCAGAAAAAGTAAATGGTAGAACTGTGAAACTAAACTACGTCCCTTCAGAAAACCAGCTAGTAGATGTATTGACCAAGGCACTTCCAAGGATTACCTTTGGCGAAATTACATCCAAGCCGAGTCTTCACAATATTTACTCCCCAGCTTGAGGGGGAGTGTAAGTAGTGTTTAAGTTAAACTCTAAATCCTAACTTATCTCAAAAACTATCTCCTGATTTGTAGAAAATGACTCATATCTTATTTAGGTCTCTAATTCATGTATATATAAATCTCATTTATCCTCTTGTGTAGTATGCAATTGTTCTTTGAATAAAAATAATTTCAGAATCAAAAACCATGTTTACCAGAACTGGAAAACTCTATTTACCAGAGTCAGAAATCACTTTACCAGAGCCGGAAAACACTGTTTCTACATCCCCTGTTATAGTGAGAATAGTATCTGCCACAATGAGAGTGTTGGGTCTGATACACATCATTAAGCTCCTTTGTATCTTCAAAAGTAATTTGCAGCTAATCAGATTTCTTAGAAAAACCTATTTCTTTCTTAGAATTAAACCGATTTGGGTTTGTTTGCTTCAGATTTATGGGATGCCTGTACAGTCTTTTATCTTTGTATGGTAAATTTCAGTTGAGATGATGAAATGGCTGGTAATTGCTGATTGTGCTGACAAGGATTAAGTATGGACCCACACGCTACTGGGCAATCTTGTTTGTGTTCTGGTTACTTGCGTTTGGTATATGGGCCTCAAGAACGCACGGTGCTCATACAACATGATTTGTTCATATATTATACGTGATGCATATAAATTCACTGTATTCTTTCTTCTTTTTTACTGCTTGTCCTACATAATAGTAGTGGAAGTGGAAAACTATGAGGGCTTTGTTGGAGACTTCATAAATGGCAGCCAATTGATAGTGTTGGCATTTGAGATATTGAGATGATGATGGGGGTAACATTTATGTGTACAATTATGTTGATCCTTCAAGGGAATGGCTATTTTTTTTCTTTTTGAGGGGGCAGTTTTGACATTTTGGCTGTCATACTTTCTGGGTTCATTTCTGAAAATCACTAGAACAATCAATAAAATAGACAATTACTCGAAGAAAATTAGAATATCTGGGCGAACACTAGTCGACCTTGGATCTGCAACTGATTACAAGATATAACATTATAGAATCCATCATCCTCTAAAGTTTGAGGTTGCATAGGAAACTCGTACTCCCTTCCTGGGAAAGAAAGGGTCTCCATGAAAGAAATAAATCCAATATTTCCTCCAAAATCCTCCCAAGACTACAGGGAAAACTAATATGTCATTTCCCCGCATGATGCAAGAACTTTATGTCATGCCAGACACCGGCTTGGGCATACGATGAACATATTTCCAGCCTCTCTGCATGTTTTGCCAGGCTAAAGTCCCAAGCACTCAAGTATCACTCATTGATGTACCAAGAGGTAATTATGTAATTATGTGTAAAACAGTAATTCAATGAAAATTTCCCTCCATAAAAAATCAGGCAGCTATTCCTTTTCATGCTCATCATTCCATTTGCTGCATTAGGTATGGCAAACACTTCAAATTTATTATGAAAGTTTTTATGGGAAGTACCAAGACAACCTCACCTAGAGGCAGACCCAAAATTTAAGTTTAAGAAAACACTTCGGAAAGCACCAGTCTCTAAATTATGCCTAACTAGGTTCCAAGCCGTAAGCAAGCAAGCAAGCTGTTATCACTACTTTTTTTTTACATTTCCAGCATATATCTACAACTACAAATGACATCTTATCAAGTGTATCTTACCAGTAGTATGCATGCCAACCATTCCAATCATTATTGCTGTTCAAAAATTAAAGTTTCCAATTAAAATTTCTGCACAAGAATTTAGCTTCTTCCTATATATATTGCTATATTTTCTTCACTCCTTAGTATCGCTTTTCGGTAGAATGTATCCCTGATAAAACATTCATAGAAATATTTTTCAAGAAGTAAATTTTAGCTAGAAAGATGTACTATCGAGAACTTCATCGGCCACCCTGATCTAGGATAGATTACAAGTCATTCAATTTAAAGAGCACATTGCAAACATGTAACAATAAATTTTATGAACTTGAGTCCATTATTGCCAAACCGAAGAACTATTCGCATTAAGTTTAACTCAGAGAAAAGGACTAACCACAATAATTCTATGAACACAAGAATTCAAACCGGTGATAAGAGGCAGATGAGAACATTTTCACTACCTAAGAAGTTAAGGGAAAATTCTACAAGTAGTTTCAACATTCGAGTAAGTTAATTTCTGGATGAGTATAAATACATTTACATAGAGTAGCAAAAATAAAACAGATTTTTTTTTAAGAAAAAAGAAAGATGATTCTGTTTCTTTTACCCAAGATAAAAAACATCATCAGTCATCAGAACAACATACTGCAAAATCTTCAAAGGAGCATTCCTGAAATCCAAGGAAGGCAATCTCAGCTCTCTTATCCGCCGTTCCCCGTTGCCTCTCCCTCCACGAACACCACCCGAATCCACTTTCCTGAACAAGTAAACCGATTTGGAAGCAGTGCTAAGAGAATTCAGAGATGGGTTCTTCCTTGTACTGAAGAGGGTCCATCCCATTCCAGCTAAAGCCCTTGAAAATGACTGCATGGAATCGATCCTATCGCCTGTCCGCTTTGAAAACAGAGAGACGGAGCAGCAATCCCAGTTACGGGCATCATCGAGTATCGCATCACAATCTGAGTCATCAGTAGTGACAAAGACCAGCTTGAAAAGGCCTTTAGAGAGGGAAACAAAGGATCGAAGATGGGAGAGGGAGGAGGAAGAGGGTGAAGGGAAGGAAATCAAAACTGCACCAGTGGGTAAAGGCATGGAAAAGGAAGAAGAGAGAGACAAGGCGGAGGAAGAAGCGGAGTAAGACGAAGAAGAAGAAGACGACGACGGAGAGGGAGAGGAAGAAGAGAAAGAGAAAATGATGTGAGAAAGGGAAGGAGTAGGGTGCAAATCCATTCCCATTTCTCTAGCTATGTTGGCTAAACTGTATGTATCGCTGATGAGTTCTCTCGTAGGGAGAAAAAGAAGAAACGGGGTTTTGGTTTCGGATTTGGGTTTCGTCGGCTTCGAGGGATGACAATGAAAATTGTAAAAGCTGGGTTTGGAATTGCAGGCATCATTTTCATGATCACCATCGTCGTCGTCCTCTTCATCTTCAAGATCATGGCGGTGGTGATGGTGATGACGGCGGCGGCGTCGGTGGTGGGTATTTTGCGAGAGGAGGAATGGGTGATGGGTAAGGGCTTGTCGTACCAACTTTAGTGGGAGAGGGAGCATCTTTGCTTTGCTTTTGTTTTCTTTTCCCTTTAGAGATCTGCAGTCCATCTGTTATAAATAGGGGGATCAATTCATTCATTAAATTCTTTATTTTGAAATCTTTAACTTAAACAACAAGAAGATCCAGTTCGGATATTTACTTTGACCAACATCTCTTGATGTCCCCTTTGCTTTATTTTTCTTAACAAATCATATATATATATATATATATATATATATATATATATATCATTATATTTTATTTTTTATATTATTTTCTCTTTTATTATTAGTATTTTAATAATATTTTTAATATTTTTGACTAATAAGATATTGACACATATAACTATTTTACGAAAATAAAATTACTTTATATAAGTATAAACCAAACGATCTCAATAGTAAAAAAAATATTGTTATTTCTTAAAGTTTAATGTTCGAGCTTCAGAATTATCAAAGGTATGAGCATTTAATCTTAAATGTTTAAGAATTATCTTTAACAGATATATCCTTGTACTTCCTACATATTAATAAAAAAATATTTTAAACAAGAAACTCAAGTAGAACTTAAATATTAAACCCCAAGAATAGGGGCGATCGGGGCGTTTGTTCCCTAAAAATTTTAAATTATCATTTATTTTACATATTTTCTCTATATTATCTATTGATAGTATATTTTCACGTTTAAAATTTTATAAATTCATTCCTTTAAATTATAAAAAAATTATCTCTCTAACATAAATTTCTACTTCAATCTCTAACCCTAGATTAAGCTGGTTAATTGGTTTAATTGTACTACAATTGGCAATCTCAGTAGCCATTTCTATAGTAGGTAAGCTACTTACTTACAGGCCCGGTCTTACAGTTACAAATGCTGGGCTTTCCACAACATTTTATTAACTCTTCAATGAATCACCAACCAAGCTAACCCATATTAGGCTAATCTACGCAGCTACGATCTTCTATTGTAAACGGGAGGGGACATGGGGGGGGTCGCTTCTCCCCCTAAATGTTTTAAATTTTTATATATTTTAGATATTATTTTTATAATTTTTATTAAAAATATATTTTTATTTTCTAAAATTTTATAAGTTATCCCTATTTAAAATCGTATAAATTATCCCTCTTAATATGATATTATGCGTCCGTCCTGATTGTATATGTTTTTATGAAATTAATGTTGTTTATTTAGGGAAGTGAAAGGGATGGAATGAGTTGGATTATCTTGTTCAAGTACACGAGTTTTAATGGTTAAAATTTAAAAGTAAATCAATTTAATTTAAATCGATTTTACTTTGACTTTATTGAATTTGTTTCATTCTATGATCAAATAGGTATCAACAGCTAATGAAATTGTGTTTCCATATTACATATCAAAATATGTGACTATTTAAATAATACATTGGTATAAATACAACTATAATTAATTAATATAATGTAAAAATCTTACAATTATAACTCTTGGACGATTATTAGTTGTTAAAATAACTATTTAGAACAAACAATGACGTGGTTGACATGGAAATTAGTGAACAGTATCATTAACTTTGGGCTATGAAACATAAAATTTATGCTAACTTCGTATTGGGACCACATGTAAATAATTGGGGGGGGGGGCTCAATTACGATTTATTGAGATGTGAAGGACCATATTGTAAAAGGAATAGAATTTTTAAATGTTCATGTTAATCCAATTCAATTTACCCTCTAATATCATTATCGATGCAAGTACACGTGTCTACACGTGTCTTCTTGCTGGAAACAGCTCGATTCTAATGAATAATATTTTAGGGTAAAGTAAATAAATAGTTATCCGACTATAAGATATTACTTTGTTGAGTCATTCGATTATTGAAAGTTACAAAATAATATTCTGACTATAAGGCATTGATTTGTTGAGTCATTTAACTATTAAAAGTTACAATATAATCACCGACTATTCATTATGTTTAAACTCGTCATTTTCTGTTAAAAAATTAACGACTGTCTGAGCTAGACATTAATATGCTAACTGAGATATAATAAGTCGTTTGAGATTATGAGATCAAATTTTATCATATCTCAGTCAACAGGTAACATCTAGCTCAGGCTGCCTTCAACTTTTTAACAAAAAATGACGAGTTTGGAACTATGAATAGTTAGGTGGTCATTTTATAACTTTTAATAGTTGGGTGACTCAACAAAATAATATCTTATAGTCGAAAGATCATTTTGTAACTTTCAATAGTCGAGAGATTCAACAAAGTAATGTTCTATAATTGATGAACCATTTATGTACTTTATCCTAATTTTGAAATGTTGATGTCAATCCACTTCCAATTCAAAAAGAAAAAAGAAAAGCCATCAAGGATATTCATACTTTAAAAGCCATTTAGGCTTAAATGCATCATTGCCCTTAAAATTATACCGTTTACATCGAGTGTCCTTTCAACTATTTTTTGAGACATTTTAATTCTTAAAGTTTAAATAGTTATTGCCCTAAACAATTAACTTCGTTAAGAAGCACAAAGGTAAATTATATATTTAGTCACTCAATTATTTTTGTGGTTCTATTTTTGTTATTAAAACATTTTATTTTTTAAAATATTACTAAACTTAAGTTTTTGTTTCGTTTGGTCACCTAATTCGATTTGATTTATTTTAAAATTTATAATATATAAGAATTTTTTTCAATTTTTATTAAGTTTTTAAATTTTATTATTATTTATTTTTAAAAATAATCTTTTTAATGGTTAATTGACAGTTAATTAATCATATATCTATCTATCTAGCTATATACCTATATATATTGATAAACAAAGGAATAAGAACAAGAATAAAAGCTAAGAAGCATGTACATCAACACTCTCTTCTGCAACAAAGAGAACAGTGCAACCGGAGGAGCTGTGAGCAAAACCCCCGAATCCAATAACATTAGGAGTATATTTAAAAAACCAAATAAGATTTTAAAATCTAAAGCCCCAAGACCAAAGCTATATATGTATATATAGCTTCAAAAGTTGCAAATATTGAACCGGAGGAGTATCATATCCTATGAATCGTTTTCTTAGTCTCAGGATCAGCTGGCATCCAAAGACCATCCTCCTTAATTACACCAATCCGACTATAGATTTTTCTGATTACACCCTCAAATTTATCAAACCCGAAATCAAACTCAAGCTGATCGTCACGGTAAACATCCTCTTCATCATTGAACATTGTCCAAAAGCGAAGGTTGCAAAAGCAAATAAAAATAAAATTAGTCCAAAATATTTAGAAAGATAAAATAGGGTTTAAAACCTGACAATGCCGAAGTTTTCACAATGAAGAAGTTGTATGGAATTGAATTCTATACTCAGATCGATACCCAACTAAACCGCTTTCGACTCTATCTCGTTCATCAATATAACCTCAACGACCATGGTAGGTTGATTCTTATTTGTTCTTCGCTTTTCGATGGGAGAGAAAGAAGCGTGGTTCAATGAGATTTTGTTGATCTATTTTGGTTTTTTGGAGAGTGGATGATACTGGAAATTTCATGTAGTTTTACTTTTAGGAAAAAAAAACATTGATGGTTAATTAATCGTCAATCAACTATAAAAAATATTAATTTAAAAAATAACAAAAAGAGTTAAAGGTATAATTAAAAATTGATAAATATTCTTATATTATAAATTAAAAATAAATCGAATTGAATTGGGTAATCATAATGGAATAAAAACTTAAGTTTAGTGATAATTCTAGAAAAAATAGTTTGATGACCAAAATAGAATCACAAAAGTAATTGAGTGACTAAATATGTAATTCATCCTCTTTGTTTTTTTACGGGGTTAATAGTTTAGGATAATTGAGGTAACAATTTAAACTTTAAAAGACAAAACTTCCAAAAAATATTTAAGGGACAATTCGATACAAATAGTTTAAAGGACAATGATGTATTTAAGCCTTATATTTAAATATATATATTTTTAAAAATCTTCTACAAATATCTTACAAGAATCTCCTTGGACTTAAAGAATGTGCCTTTGCATGTGTGCATATCTAATAAAATTATTTTAACTAGTTGGAACCCACAGTTGGTGTAGGTGGATTAAAATGAACTGGGTATGTCCTGCAAGAAATGACCATCCAACTCAGTTGGTAGAGCACAAGGTTCTTAACCTTGAGGTCGTGGGATCGAGTCCCACGGAGGGCACTTCATAATTTGGAGGTCTCCCACGGAAGCTGCTCTCAACCTGGCATTGGGAGCAGCCTACTATCTTACCTCCCCCTTACCCCATTACATATAGGAATAAGGGTCAGGTAATTTTTGGGTATGTCCTGCAACGGTGACAGCTGCCCCGTCCGATACTCAACTGGACTCACTTCGTCTATGAAATCCAACTAAAAAATCAACCCCATCCCACTTCCCCTCACTCATTTCGGGCGACACCATCACATCATTTGCCATGAACATCCATCAAGGTTGTCCTTCAACGTTTCCAATTTCCTGTTTCTCATCTTCCATCCCTGTGTAACTCAACGACAAATGCTTCTCTATGCTTCCCTTTTTGTTGTATATTCAACATAACACCTAATCATCAAGCTGTAAAAAAACACAGACCCATCGATTATAAGATGTTATTTTGAACCGTCAAAATTGATAATTTTAAAGAAAAAAGAAAAAATGGTCATTGATGTCTCCGTAATAGACCTAATATTTCATTTTTGCTCTTATTATATTTTCGTATCAATTTAATCCTCAGAGTTGAGTTGTTTAATTGCATCATTTTATACCCTAATCCTAACTTAAAATCTTAAATTCTAAATCTTCTACCCTAAACCATAACCACATAACTTTTAAACCATAAATTATAAACCTAAATCATAATCCTTTAACTTTTAAACCCTAAACCTTAACTTAAAACCCTAAACAATATTAAATATTTTAAATATTGATGAAAATGAGCAACATAAGGGTTAAATTGATGTAAAAGTACAATAAAAATGAAAATAATAAATTGGGTCTACTACAGGGGCAAAAGTGATGTAATACCCCAAATATCGGGTCGGTGACCATAGGGAAAGGA